ATATATTTTAATATTTTATTAAATTAAAGATTGGGTTTAAAAAGTGGAAAAGAAACTGCTGGACAAATAATGTAGATTGGAATACAAAAGAGGGAGGTATGAGGAAGTCCAGAAAATAAGTAATTTAAAATTGGGAATGGAAAAGAGAGTTTGTTTTTAATTGTTATGTTTTGTGTTTTTATTGTTAAATTTTGTATTGTTTTTCTGTGTGTGTTGTTTTCTCTTTTTTCTTTGTTTAAAACTTTAATAAAAATTATTTAAAAAAAAAAAAAAGAAAGGCTGTCTGGTTTCAGTCTGGTATAAGATCATGAAATGCATATGAAGGTAAAGGAAGGGCTTTGAAGTTGCACATCATCAGTACCTGGCCAGCCAACTGGGTGGGTGACACAGGCCAGCTGGTGAAAGTTTTCCTCTCCAAGGTGAGATGCATTGTATTTATATTTTAATTCTGTTAATTCTTTCTAAATTTGCACCTGCAACTGTAAAATTGGAAAATGCATGTGTGAATTGTATGCAAATCAGTGAGCGCTTTTGTCCTCCTTTCTGACCTTTGCTTGGTACCCAGGGCTTGAAAAGTGTAGCTGGGTGCTTTGCACTTGTGCATTTGCTAGATATCTAAACAACGTTTCTAACTGAGAACCATATCATTCCGATCTTCTGTTAGCTACTTGTACATTCTCCTGGGCCCAGTTAAAGGTCCTGACATTAACATATAAAACTCTGAATGACTTGGGTCCCTGTTACTTGAAGGAAGATATCTCTCCATATTTGCTGGTTTGGGGCTCAAGATCTGCTGGGGAGGCCCATATTGGTGAAGCAGGGGATGGAGGGGCTTCTCAGTTGTGGCACCCCATTTGTGGAATTGACTCCACCCTGAAGTCTGCCTGTTTGTCTCTGTATAGGCATGGTCTCAAGACACACCATGTAATCAGGCCATTGGAACCATTGGTCCATGGTTAATTAGACTTTTTTGGTTTTATTCCTGCAGGTTATTATTGTTTTTGTAATATCATTAAAATGTTGTAAATATATAGATTTATAAACTGACCTAGGATCACACCTGATGGGGAAGGATAACTTAAAAATTGAATAATTTAAATTTAAGAATAATAGAAGCCCTGCTGGATTAGAGAGAGGATCCATCTAGCCTACCATCCAGCTTCTAGGAGGAGCCAGCCAGATAACTCTGGGAAGCTTGGATAGCTCAGTTGGTAGAGCATGAGACTCTTAATCTCGGGGTTGTGGGTTCAAGCCCCACATTGGACAAAAGATTCCTGCATTGCAGGGGTTTGGACTAGATGACCATCATGGTCCCTTCCAACTTTACAATTCTATGGTCCTATGATTCAAAGTCTCTGATTAGTGCAGGAAGTCTATATTATTCATGCAGTGTATTCAAGGCTACATGTATGGCATGCAGCACTATACTGTACTGCTGAACATGGCAATTCCATTTAGCTATCATAGCTAACAGTCATTGATAGATCTATCATCCCCTAATGGGTCACAACCTCTCTCTCTCTCTTAGGCATCTAAGACCATCATCACATTCTGTTGCAGTAAACTCCTTAAGCCAACCGATCGGGGTTATCTCTGGTGAAAATACAAAGATGGGCTGATCTGTGGGATGCAATGCACTGGCTCTTTCTTGCAAGTGAAGTTTCACAAAACCTTTTTCCTTCTTTCCCTTTCTTTTTTCTACTAGGAGCAGAATGAAATCAGGCTCCCTGTTGTTAAAATGATAGGAATGTCAAATAGAACCACAGGGAGATTTTCTGGTTGGGAAGGGCTTTGGGTCTTGTGAAACAATTTGGCTTCCCAAGGCAAGAGAGGGAGGAAAAGAGCAAGAGAGTCAATCTTTGTGTACAACTGTATCAGCTTACTGGACAACTCTTTCAGCCAAAATACTTGGCCTTCATGGTGATTGGCAACTTGCACGTACGCAGATTTACTTAGAAGTAAGTCCCATGGATTCTAGTTTAACCCAAGTGCACCCTCATATATCTGGAATTATGAGGCAGGGCTTCCTTGCCAAATGACAATAACTTCAAGGCAGATGTAAACCTTTCCCTGCGCCTAGAAATTAACCTCTGCAGTAGGGAGCAACAACCTTAAAGGCACATACAGATTTTGGATGGAGTGCTTTGAGCGCAACCCTCTCTAGTCACTTTTCTCCCCCCTCAGGATCAGCTCCTACAGAGAGATAGAGAAAGCGCTTGTATACACTCTCTACTTTCCCAAAGGTAAAAGTAGGATCTGACAGAATTAAGTTGAGCCTTCACTCATTCAACTTCTCCCTCCATGTAATAATAATAATAATAATAATAATAATAATAATACAGTCGTACCTTGGGTTACATACGCTTCAGGTTACATACGCTTCAGGTTACAGACTCCGCTAACCCAGAAATATTACCTTGGGTTAATAACTTTGCTTCAGAATGAGAACAGAAATCGGCGCAGCGGCAGCAGGAGGCCCCATTAGCTAAAGTGGTGCTTCAGGTTAAGAACAGTTTCAGGTTAAGAACAGGCCTCCAGAACGAATTAAGTTCTTAACCCGAGGTACCACTGTAATATATTTATACCCCGCCCATCCGGCTGTGTTTCTCCAGCCACGCTGGGCGACTCCCAACAGATTAAAAACAGAATAAAACATGAAAAACTTCCCTAAACAGTGCTGCCTTCAGATGTCTTCTAAAAGTCAGATAGTTATTTGTTTCCTTGACATCTGATGGGAGGGTGCTCCACCACCGAGAAGGCCCTCTGCCTGGTTCCCTGTAACCTCACATCTCGCAATGAGGGAACCGCCAGAAGGCCCTCGGCGCTGGACCTCAGTGTCTGGGCAGAACGATGGGAGTAGAGACACTCCTTCAGGTATACTGGGCTGAGGCCATTTAGGGCTTTAAAGGTCAGCACCAACACTTTGAATTGTTCTCGGAAAAGTATTGGGAGCCAATGTAGGTCTTTCAGGACTGGTGTTATAGGGTCCCAGCGGCCACTCCCAGTCACCAGTCTAGCTGCTGCATTCTGAATTAGTTGTAGTTTCTGAGTCACCTTCAAAAGTAGCCCCACATAGACTGCACTGCAGTAGTTCAAGCAGGAGAAAACCATAGCATGCACCACTCTGGTAAGACAGTCTGTGGGCAGGTAGGGTCTCAGCCTGCAGACCAGATGGAGCTGGTAGACAGCTGCCCTGGACACAGAATTGACCTGCGCCTCCATGGACAGCTGTGCACCTGGTCCTTCAGAGGGACAATCACCCCATTTAGGTCCTGGGAGTCCTCCACACCCAACAGTATGTACTTTCATGGAAGGGAAAGATAGCAATGCAGTTGAGGCTGGTACATTAAGGGTGAGCGAATCAGTATATTTCCAGTCTGTGGCCTTTTTTTACATGTGTTCACCCCTAAGTCTGTTTTGCTCCATTTTGGCATAGATCAATGAACTTTAAAAACCACCACCGCATTGGCCTAAAAGGATACTTAAATATATATTCATAAATGTGCATTTTAAAGACATTTTGTCTCATTTTCAAAAAAAATCATATTTCTATAGTGCTTCAATACTTTGATACTGTGTGTATATGTGCGTGCTGTAAACATCGTCAGAAAACTCAGGAAGCACAAAAGCCAGTGGATACGTTGGGGGGGGGTGCAGATCATGTCAGTTCATATCAGAATTCACAAATATCAAATTCTTTAAGCATTTAGCTTAGGCTTCATTATGTCAGCAGCCAGACAGAAAGAGAGAGAAGTAGGGTGGAAGGAGCAAGGGAGGGAGGGAGATGGACAGAAGCAGTCTACCGTGAGCAGTCTGAGCTGTTTCACACCCTGCAACTGCACATCTGTACCTGTGAGATGGGTGCATCTTTTCTGCTCTGTAGGCTGACTGCACCTAATCCTGGAGTCTCCCCCACCCCCGCCGCCATCAAGACTCATCTGTCTTACTTGGAAGCTATCAGTCAAGTTCAATGCTCCATGGAGCCCTGAAGAAGCTCAGAGAGCTCCCACAGGGACAGAGGCTTTCTTGGGTAATTCCAGAGAACCACTTACCGAGGATGACCTCATCATGGTGCACACATAACCACTTGGCAAGTTTCCAACACCCTGAATAAATCAGAAATATGTGGAAGAGAAAAAGGGGTGAAAGTTCTCCTTGCTGCCTCTGTATGTTATAGATGACTATGTGCACACCATGGTGAGTCTCTGCTGCTACTAATTAATGTCATCATCTCCGTCAAAGTCATCCATCACCTTTTATGAATGTAAGGTACAGTGCTGTACTCCCAGTGAAAATAAGCGCACACAGCTATCCCAACTGCATTGCAAGCTCCTGGCTCTTTTCTTAAGAGTTGTCTTTCTGTTCCTCACTATCGAACCCAAGCTTGTTCATCAACTGCTCCTCAGTTCCTGTAATGTTGCCAGCTGCCTTCATCAGCACATATTCTCCATCTGCCTTCTGCAGCATTAAAAAAGAACCGTCTTCATTGATGATTATTAAAGGCCAATAAAGCATCCGTCAGAATGCTGTGCTGTGCTTGCCAAGATGCACTCTCTGCCTGGGAGTGTGCTGTTGTGCTCATCTGCTGCTCATGGTCTTCCCTGAGACATCTGGCTGGCCACTGTGGGAACAGGATGCTGGACCTGGTGGGCCTCTGGTCAGATCCAACAGGCTTTCTATGTTCTTAATAATACTTTTCACTTTCCCCAGGTCTCCTCTTCCCATTTTACCACCCACCCAGGGCATTTAACTTCCTCCTAGACAATGCCAAGAGCCCTCCCCTACTGTGTCTTGTATATGACAGAGGCTGTGGACACACTGTACGTTTATCAAGCCCATTCCCCCTACCTTTCACAGAGCTACAATCCCCAGCACCCTTAAAACTCTTCTTATAGGTCAGGGTGGTCCAACATATGGCCCAAGGGCCACATATGGCCCTTAACACCTTTCTGGTGGCCCTCAGCAACATTTGATGCCCCCCAGCCCTCTCACTGCCTTCTCAAAGCCAGGTAAATGAGGCACTGGGCTTTGTGAAGGAAGCATGAGGGCTCTGACAGAGTCCCAGAATCCTCCCTCCTCCTTCACAAAATCTAGTTAACACTTTCTCAACTTTAGGAAGGAGTCGGGAGGCCTCTAGGCCAGAGCCTCACATCTTCTTCTCAAAGCCCAGCACCTCACTTAGCTAGCTTTGGGAAGGCAGCAAGATGGCAGCGTATGTGCCAGATTTTGGGCTCACTCCCTGCCCTGACATGACAAGACAGTGAGTGGTCCTCGTGTTCAATCTGAAGTATTCTTGCAGCCCACTTGGTATCAAAAGTTTGACTGCCCTATCCTAGGTAATCTTCATGCAGGAACTCCTTGCAACACCCCTCCTAGTATTCATTCTAGGATTAACTTGTCAAAGCCGGCACTGCCATTAGACAGAGTGGTTGCCTCAGGCAGCAGATAGTTGGGGGTGGCATTATAGAATCAAAGAATTGTAGAGTTGGAAGGGACTCTGAGGGTCATCGAGTCCAACCCCTTGCAAGACGGGAAACTTAGCTAAAGCATCCATGACAGATGGCCATCCAACCTCTGCTTAAATCTCTCCTTCAATGAGGCTGTTACTCCTCTGAGTTCTGTTAAAGGATAGGAACATGTGTGCCTTGCAGCCTGCCCCCACCCCAAACCAGCTTTCTGCCTTTAGATAAACTGAAGTAGATTCAACCACCAGCCTGGGCAGCTTTTGTAAAGAAGGGGTGGGTGCATCTTGTCCTTTGTCTCAGGCAGCAAAATTGGCCCCTGTCCTTCCTCACATCTCTGTGAGGAAGCAGAGCACTAGGCTGAGAAGATCTAGTGCTTGAGAGAGACTCATCGACCTGGTGTTTGCATATGTGATAACCCGGCTTGATCCAGCCATTCATTCAGACTGGAGGCCTAAGATTCTATATCCAAGCTGGTGCATACAGAACATGCCAGCACTCACATGCTCTCGCCACTTCATGAACATTTCTTTCCTTCCTGTTTTGCTAGTGCCTCCCTCCCCTCTCTGTACAATTTCAGGCTAATGTATTATGTACATTTTTTTTAAAAAGAGACGTTTCTATTGAGTTGCCTCCAGGTTGGCAAGCAACACCTCAGACCCTCTGAAGGGGGTTGTTTTGTAGGACTGGGGTGCTCACCACAGCTGTCCCTAGTGACAATGGAGTGGGGGGGGGGGCTCAGCTGAGGATTTTTATATAGCTCCAAGTGAGGGCAGCCAACACCTCCTTGCCCCACCTGTAACACAGGCTTCTTCTCCTCCCTTCCTCAATTCCTTTCCCTTGGCAACCTATTCCAGACACAAAAAGAAAGGTCTATTCATGGGTTGGCAGGTGGAAGATTAATACTGTCAGGGGAAGAATTTGGAGGCAAAATGACTTCAAAAACAAAATACCTTGGATGAAGGAGAAGGAGGGGAGGGGGAAGCATAGCTTGCCCAAAGGCAGGAGTGTAGTGGGGGGGGAGGAGGGTAAGGCAAGTTGGCATGGTGCCTTTTCATTGCTGAGGGAAGAAACTCCCTCCTCCCCACCCCACACCTTCTGTGCTAGCATGAGTGGCCCAGCCCTGTATTTTTGCAGCTGTGCTTTTATTCCAGTGTGCCTCTTTTGGCGGGCACGCAGGGCACGGCAGCTTGTAACCAAAGACTGCACCACTGTCGGGTTTTTTTGAAAGGAAATGTTCGAGGCGTGTAGCAAACCCCCTTGCTGGGAATACTGAGCCCCTTCTTCCTGTTCTACCTGGTGCAGCCAAGTGGACCAAATCAAGGCATTACATCTTACAAGTGTCGCGGGCCTCGTTTGCTCAGTCACCCTCCCTTCCCTCCCCCCCAACCCCCAAACTTGCCCTCCTCTGGGCCTTGTCCAATAACATGGGGCCTATTTATATATTTATAAGTTCAGAGTTTAAGGACCGAACAAGGCATGGGGTGGGGGTGGGGATTATGGTGGAGCGTGGGCTTCCTTTCTGGATGTCCTTAGAGTGGAAATCTCTTTTATGAGGTGTCTCAAGGAGTCAAAAGCCTCTTTTGAAGTGCGAAAAGGAAATGAAAAATTGCACGACGGAGGTGCCTCCATTCTGACAAAGAGGAGTTTGCAGAAAGACTCCAGCCATCTCAGATGAAGTGGGGCGGGCGGGCAGGCAGGGAGTGAAGAGAAACTGAGCAGATGCCTCCATGTCAGAGACCCATCTAACACACATCTACGCCATGCGCCACATTGCAGTAGGTGTGCACTGTGCAGGAAGTAGGAAGAAGGCTGTGATAAGCAACTTCCCATAGCGAGTGATCCCCGTAACCTGCGTACACAGAAGGGAGATGCTTCGGTACAGGCTACAGAATCTTGAAAGTGGAATGCTTTGACTTGATGTTTCTGGTTTAAATAAAGCTGGATATCGTGCTGGAGCAGACCAGTTTGGAGGCAGTTTTACAATAGCTACTCAAACATACTTATTGCCGTGTAATAACTAGCTAGGAATAGACTGAGAACCAGGAGCCTTGGGGACGCTAATTAAGGCCAAAAGGCAGTATAAAAAATAGCACCTTCTGATTATGATGAATCAAGAAGTCTAGCTTTATTTCCCTCCATAGCAAAAAAAAATAAAAAAAAAATTCAAAAATCCAAGACGTTCCTTTGCTCAAGGGCAATAGAAAGAAACATATTGCTCACCCTGTTTTAAACTACCACAAAAGTAATGAGATAGAAAGTACCCTACACAGAAATGGCCCTTTGCAGACTGCTCCCCTGTGCATGAAACCAGTGCATGAAATGTCATACACTGGTTTTGACCCATAACATCTTACGTTGCCCAGGGTCCCAATACCTTAAGGACAGCCTCTCTCCATATTAACTGACCAATACATTGTAATAGTCATTCTATTATTTATTTATTCTGAACTTTTGCATCTCACTCTTCACCCAAAATGCTTCCAAAGTGGCTTAGATACAATCAAAACAGTCCGCACCCACAGACTTACGGTCTAAAAAACACAACACACAATGGAAAAGTAACAAGGAAAAAATCCAAATCCAAGCTCAGGCACCAATTTCTAAGCAATGACCAGCTGGCACAGTTCGGGGGTAGGAGGTGCCTGATACAGTTGACCTCTCATGCACAGCTAACAGAGTGAGCTCTGCTTCTCAGCTCTCTCACTGCTGGAATGGCTGCCCCTAGTTGACGGTTGAGGGGAGAGGAGGTCTGATGGCTCTGGCCAGTGCATCCTCCATGAGAGGTCTTGATAGTGGCAACATGAGAACAGGCCTTTTCAGTGGTGCCTCCCCACTTATGGAAGGCTCCACCTGGGGAGACTCACCTGGCGCCATCATGCCATAGCTTTTGGCGCCACGCAAAAAGATTCTTCTTCTTCTTCTTCTTCTTCTTCTTCTTCTTCTTCTTCTTCTTCTTCTTGTAAGGCCTTGGCTTTTAAGTATCTATGGCTTTTTTGCGGGGGTGGGGTGTTTTAATGAAGTTTTTAAAAATGTATTTTAGGGGTTTTTTTAAACGCTGGTTTTAATGTATGTATGTGTTTTTTGCTTAAAATATTGTAAATCACTTTGAGTCGCAGTTGCAAGAAAGTGACAAAATGTAATTAATTAATTAATAGGAGACAATAATGAGAAATGTGCTTATATTTAGTATGCATAGTCAGAGTTGAGACTCTTCACTCCCTTTCAGACATATTTTTGGAACTGCTTGAAAAGTAACTCTCTTTCTTATGATTATTTTGGCAATGTCTCCACACATACATTTACATTACCTTCTCTTGCTTTATCTCATTTTGTCTCTCCCTCACCCCCACTTCAGTGGTATCGTTAGGTAGCTGCCCTGGGGACCTTTCTAAAGCGATGTTGTGGGATAGAAACATAGAAATGACAAAAAATCGGATAGGCTGCACAGTTTTGTGATTTTAGACTATTAACGGTGTGCTCCCAAGTTACCTGGAATCCCCCATGTGGCTATTCCAGGCAGAGGTGGATTTAGGGGAGTGTGACTGGTTTCCCCACTGGGAATATTTCCCAGTATTTCTTAGTTGCTGAGTTAACAACCTTAGGCCTTACTTAGGTGAGGGCGGGCGCCTTACAAAGAAGTGAGAAAAATCAGGAATGTACAAGATGGGAAGCGCGGATCTCACAGAACATCCCATGGAGCACATTGTGAGTGAGAGCCACGCATCTTCCTGTACACATTGTGGAAGGAGAATTAAAGATGCTTCCATTGCCCCTTCCCTAGTGCATGAACAGCCTCTCGCGGAGCTGTTTTGAAAAGATTATCTGTCAGCACTGGGCACACACTCCATTTTAAGAATAAGCAGAATGCTGGGCTGGGCTCCGTCAAGTCATTTTGTTGCATGCTGTGGAAATTTTTGTAAACTGGCAATTAAAACCATGAATACGGCCGTTTCAAAGGGGCAGGGTAAATTGTTTATCCTACGAAGGCAAACAATGTTGTTTGGCTTCTCCAAACAAGTTGCCTGTGTTGCTGAGTGGAAACTGTGGGAATAGCCTGTCTGAGGAGAAGCGACACAATTTCCCGAAGGCACTTGGTTTTGTTGCTGTCTGTCAGCCTTTTCTCCCATTAAAGAGTATGAGCAATCTGCTCTATATATTGGTGCTCAAAGAAGCAATCTAACGTAACTGTTCTCTCTCTCTCTCTTCAGTTCCAAATTCTAAAAACTGCAAATGCACAGCTGTGGTGCGATGGATGTCTTGGGGGCCTGGCGCAGGCAGCATCTCTCCAGCATCCATCAATAGGAAGATAGGTAAATGCACCAGCCCAAGGAATAAGTGTTTCCAACAGCAAATTCAGGTGTGTTAATGCAGGAGGCAAGGACTGTTGTTGTTGTTTAGTCGTTTAGTCGTGTCCGACTCTTCGTGACCCCATGGACCAGAGCACGCCAGGCACTTCTGTCTTCCACTGCCTCCCGCAGTTTGGTCAGACTCATGTTTGTAGCTTCGAAGACACTATCCAACCATCTCATTCTCTGTCATCCCCTTCTCCTTGTGCCCTCCATCTTTCCCAACACCAGGGTCTTTTCCAGGGAGTCTTCTCTTCTCATGAGGTGGCCAAAGTATTGGAGCCTCAGCTTCACAATCTGTCCTTCCAGTGAGCACTCAGGGCTGATTTCCTTCAGAATGGATAGGTTTGTTCTTCTTGCAGTCCATGGGACTCTCAAGAGTCTCCTCCAGCACCATAATTCAAAAGCATCAATTCTTCGGCGATCAACCTTCTTTATGGTCCAGCTTTCACTTCCATACATCACTACTGGGAAAACCATAGCTTTTACTATACGGACCTTTGTTGAGAAGGTGATGTCTCTACTGACTTGGACCCAAAGTGGAGATGAAAACACAAGTCATTCTCCATGTTTAGGAAAAGCACATGCCACAACTCCACGCCCCCCCCACCTGCCAGGAATGACTGTGCCACTTTTCAGTAAGTCAGTGGCTGCTTGCACATTGGAATGTTCCTGTATATCTGGGATAGGCCACACTGTGCCCTTCTGATGTTCTGGACTACAACTCCCATCAGCTGTAGCCAACGTGATCAGTGGTCATGGATGATTGGAGCTGTAGTCGACGACATCAGGAAGGAACTGCATTGAGTACTCTGCCTGACAAAACCCCAAGCTTAAAACAACTAACACATCAAGTGGAAAACTATTTTTAAAACCCTTCCAGAGGATATTGTAGGCTTTCCATGGATGGGGGCGGGCGGGTAGGGGTTGCTGGATTGTTTGCTTTTTTAAAATGGGAGAGAATTTTATCATGCAAACTCCCACCTGTTTCCTGGAGTGGATGGAGCAGTTCCAGGAGGGTGCATTCCCACCCCCACCCCCATGCAAACTGGCCCAAAGTGAGGTGGCAAGAAAGCAGGAGGCTGGGCAAAGAGTAAGAGATGATTCCTTGTTGGCAGAGCAGAATAAACTGGGCATACAGAATAGCAGGGATGGAGTAGAAATTGTGCAACGAAGTGATTTGTTGTTTCCAGATTGTATGGTTTCTGTAGAATATCAAAGCACACTCTCAAAACAAAACCATTCCTGATGGAATATTTTAACTGTGATGACATCTCAGCACCTGCAGCTTGCTGAGATTTAGCGTTATTCAAGGTGTGGGTTTTTCATCCTCTGAAACAAATGCAGATCTTGCGAAAGATGCCCTTTTGGCAGGCCAGCTCACAGACAGAAGGCAACCTTATGAGTGGACCAGTGCCTAAAAATTTGGAGCACAAATTTGTCTTTAGCTTAGTCTGCTAATTATGTTCAGCCCCAGAGATTCTTGAACAGAGTTTCAGATGTGTAAAAATCTGCCCAGTTTTGCTTTGTCTGCCTTCATCTCCTGACCCTGCTGACTTGTCTGTTCCTTTCCCTATGCTGCATGTCATTTTACACACATTTTACTTACAAAGTAAAACTAAATTATATTTATTTAACCAAAATCTATTTTGAATTCCCAAGTCATGTTACAACTTTTTAGCAACTGCCATTTTTCAAATTTGAAGGATTCAGCATGCCATAGCGGATCACTTCGTAGGTCAGCTCTAACCTAACAGTGATAACTTTCTCAGTGCTGAGCTGTTACTAGAATGGACCCACGGCATCTTGAGGTTCATTTATAGGGTGGGTATATTTCCTGCGGCAACTGACACTCCCAAACATCTCCACTCAAATGGACAATTCTTTAGATTTCAAAAGTGTCTTGCTTCTCTTTTTGAACAAACAAACAAACATGTGTGACACATTTAAACAGGATTAAAAACAGGATTAACTTTCATGGTTCCCCCACTTACCCTATCCATGCCCAAAAAAGAGAGCACTGGAAATGGCAGTTTTGTTGGGGTTGACCAGGACTAAAATCAATGCACAAGAAGCAAAGGGCAGAGTGGGGCAGCAACATTCAGGAAATAAATAAATAAAAAGGCTAAAGGGCCCCTGGACGCTTAAATCCAATCAAAGGTGACTATAAGGTTGTGGCGCTCATCTCACTTTCAGGCCAAGGGACACTGGCGGAGGAAGAGGCATGAGGGGGGAGCACACCGCCCCCGGCAGCGCAATCCGAGTGGGGTGCCATTGTGGCTGCTCCCCGCCCACGCTGGGCACCACGCACCTATGGGTGGCACACCACACCCTCAGGATGCGCGCCTCACCCCTACAGGTGGTGCGCCATGCCCCCGGGACGCACGCCAGCCCCACCCCTGCCTGCTCTCCACCCCCCGGTGCCGGAGCATGAAGCTCCGCCACTGCCAAGGGAGCTGGCGTTTCTCCACAGACAGCTTTCCGGGTCATGTGGCCAGCATGACTAAACCACTTCTGGCACATGGTGGACTGTGATGAGTGCCAAAGCGCATGGAAATGCTGTTTACCTTCCCGCCACAGTGGTACCTATTTATCTACCTGCACTGGTATGCTTTCGAACTGCTAGGTTGGCAGAAGCTAGGACAGAGCAATGGGAGCTCACTCCATCACAGGGATTCGATTTTGAGCACATTTAATTGATGTGTGACTGCTGACCTGTGGGTCGCTTTGGACCTGGAAGAGGGCAGAATGTGGCATCATGGGGCAGGGCAGGCTTATGCAAGCTCCGCTAATGCATGCATGTGCCAAGAATGCAACCCCCACAAAAATCGGAGGTTGCCTGTACTTCCTTCCAAGTAAAACATGCAGAGGCTTGCACAACAGAAGAAACTTCAAGTCTCTGCAAGCAGGACAGTTGCCACACTGTTTCTGAGTAGTAAAATGGGCAAATTCTCCAACAGTTCAAGAATGAAAATTCTCTTCTGAATCTATATTGTTAGTTCTTCTTGGTGGATGAGGGAAAGCTACTGTAGGCTTCCTCTGTCAGAGGCAATGTGCCACTGAATGATAGTGCCTGGGAATCACAGCTGGAGAGAGAGGGCAATAGTATGTACTAAGGTTCTGCTTGTGGGTTTCCCAGAGGCATCTCATTGGCTACTGTGGGAACAGGATACTGGATTCTTGCACTCTTAAAGCAATGAGCTATCTTGGGATGGATGGACCAGCCATTCTCTGGCCCATGCCAGTTTCACATAAGTCCATTCCCTTCTGTTTCCACACTAATCTGCAATTTGGTTTTCAAATGCATGAAAGCTTCCACTGTTGTTAATTTATTCCCCCCACAAAATATGCATTTTTGCCCTGAAATATGCGTCCTCCTATAAATATGCACTTTTGTATACATTTTTGGTATGGGTTTCTTTGGAGCCAAGAGCCTGTCCTGTAATATTCAGGGAAACTGAATTATAACTGCATTTGATCCACCTATTTAGTCTGGGAAGTGGACAGTTCACTTAGAATTGAGGACCAAACAAAATCCTCGAGCATCCAGGGATTGAAGAGAAAGGCTTAGAAGGAAGAGGTGCCAAGCTCATTGCTTCCTTCAGCAACATTAAAACATATTGGATTAGATTTGCAGTTGCATTTGAAATCGACTATCCTGTTTGCAGGGACGCGTGTGGCGCTGTGGGTTAGACCACGGAGCCTAGGACTTGCCGATCAGAAGGTCGGCAGTTCGAATCCCCGCGACGGGATTTGATCCCGTTGCTCAGTCCCTGCTCCTGCCAACCTAGCAGTTCGAAAGCACGTCAAAGTGCAAGTAGATAAATAGGTACCGCTCCGGCAGGAAGGTAAACGGTGTTTCAGTGCGCTGCTCTGGTTCACCAGAAGCGGCTTAGTCATGCTGGCCACATGACCCAGAAGCTGTACGCCGGCTCCCTTGGCCAATAAAGCGAGATGAGCGCCGCAACCCCAGAGTCGGTCACGACTGGACCTAATGGTCAGGGGTCCCTTTACCTTATCCTGTTTGCACACAGTGGAATTGTAGGTGGTGAGCAATTATTCTCTGGGGCTGAGCACCTGGAATTATTCAGCAGTTCAGCAAGATCCTCAACAAGAAAATTCTCAGATAACTTCTCAGAAAAAAATATTTTCTGAGAACGTCTTCACTCTATGTTAGGTGATTTCTGCTTGTTGAATTTACTCCTTTAGCCCTCACTAAGTTGCAGAACAGCTCAGCTTCTTTCAGTGGTTTTTGAGATGAAGATAGTGTAGGCCAGGGTATCCCAAACTTGGACCTCCAGCTGTTTTTGGACCACAGTCCCCATCACCCCTAGCTAGCAGGACCAGAGATCAGGGATAATGGGAATTGTTGTCCAAAAACAGCTGGAGACCCAAGTTTGGGAAACCCTGTTGTTGCCAGATCTTGGCTTTTGGGAGTGGGGGACATAGAGGCATACCAGTTGTGTGCTTTCAGCTTAATTTACCTCATAAGGTTGTAGTAAGGATAAAAAGTTTGCCACTGCTTGAAACAGTGGTTGACTGCAGTCCATCAGCTACTGCTATCCAGTAAAAATGTTTGAATGAGAAGCATGCTGCATTATGGTCCAGCCTCGTCCCCAGGGGCAGCACTGATAGCCTTATCCTCCATGAATTTATCCAATCCTCACCTGTTGCTTGACCTTTTCTGGGCTCCCTGTAACATCAGACCTTTTGTCCTGCTCTCTCTTTTTCCGACATGTGAAAGTGGAAGCACTGTGGGAAACAAAAGAGACAAATTCAGCATAAGGATGGGTGTTTAGACTTCCTGGGAAGACCCATCTCTTCCATTTCCCCTCCTGCCCATTTTGTCACTCTCCCAACCACCTCTCAGGCTGAGCTGGACTGTGGGAGCTCAAGTGATGAAAGGGAGATGCTTTTACAGCTTTCATTAAGAGGAAGGAAAGCTTTGATATAATAAGACAATATCCACTGAGTTGATGCAATCCATTTATCTTGGCTGGCCCTCACCCTTGCCCGAGTCTGTGTGTTATTAGAGGGTGGTGCACTGCTTAGGCTTCTCTCGTCATACAGTCCCCGGGGTCAGTTGTTTCTTTTCTTGCTCCCCCCCCCTTTTGCTCCACCAATAACATGACTCATCCCCCTGTAAAACAATCCTTTAGAATTATACCAAAGTGGCCGCAAAGTTCACTGAGCTTCCAAACCACCCCAATCCAGCAGTGATGGCAACGACCCTGGCAGAACAATCTTTGGAGCTCCACGCTAACCACAGAATGAAAGGCAGTTGTTGGTGGTGAGGAAAGCATTTTGGCTTTCACAGCACGTCATGAGAAAGGAGAGCTTTCCTGCAAAACACTTAACCTAGGATTGACACTGACGGGCCCCCGGCCCCTAACCACCACCACCACCCCATATTTATCTAGTGAGTGAAATTTAAAATGATGTTGTACTAACTCTTTTGTAGCTCAAGCTTGCCCTTAAAACGGGGGTGGGAGGTTTGTAGCCTTCTGGGGTTTGTTGGACCCCAAACTCCCACCAGCCCCAACCAGCGTGGTGAATGGTCAGGGATGGTGGGAACTGTAGGGGTAGAGTGCGATGGGAGATGATGTCTCACAGTATATGGAGAGTCACAGGTTGGTTCAGGTGTTCAAAGGAGAGGGCCACTCAAACAAGGGATGTACAGACCCAAATCAAAGAAATGTCGCTTGCAAAAATATTTTTTGCCTTCACTTGAAATGGCTCAGATGTTTTACCTGACAAAGAACCTCCAAATCCACAATTAACGTCCACTGAGAGGTGAAACCTAGTGACAATCTAGGAATGCCAGAGCAATTTCTGAGATATTTCAGCACAGTTTTCCTCCGTTTCACACTCAGCTTTTCTTATCCTTCATATGCAAGTTTGCTCAGAATCTATGCTGCTCAAATGCATCAGGATCTGAATTTATTTAGTGCAATTTGGTCCTGACTTTCTGAGCCTGGAATAACTTCTCTCCTCCCAACCTGCAGCTCCCCAAACTTCTCCTTGTTCTTGCGGAAAATGTTGTTGCTGTTCATTCTGTGCAGAGTTTTGCACCAGCTTTACAATTCTGACTGTGATGAAAGAACACAAAGCCAGACAACTTGCTGTAATCTCGAGGTCATTGCACTTTATTGGCGCAGGAGGTCCAGCCTCCAATGTCTCTGAAGCTGTCACAGGAAAATGGCCAGGAAGCTCTGTGGATTCTATCAACATTCAGTTGGGAAGCAGCACATGTCCAGCTGTAAGGTGGGTCTAATTAACAAGTCTCTCATAGTCATTCACTCAGTTTTGTGAATAGGTCTTTGGAAGTTCTCTCCTCTGATTGGAGCACTGCTTTCATCCTGCAGTTCCTTCTAGTGTGTTTCAGCCAGGGCCTTCCCAAGACATTTTGCTCCCTCAAGGACAAGATGTACAGAGCCAACTAGACTGGCAAGTGAATCTTGCTTTAACATTGGTGACAAGGCAGCATCTTATACTGCACAAGTTAGGAGGGGGTTCTTTTTTTGGGGGGGGGGGAGATGGGTCATGTAGCCTGCACATCTCTGTCCTCCAACAGCCAGGATATGTGGGGGATCGGTCAAGGGTTTGCCTTTGCTGCACCCACATCTGATTTCAATTTTAGTTGAAGGCTAGTGTGATGCTACTGATTGTTCACCATCACATAGGCCCTCCGTCCCTCTGTTTCATTCATTGGCCTTTTCTTTAATTACTCCCATTTCATTTTCCTCCCTTCCCATCTAGCATGTGCCAGTTACACGTGTGTTAAGAGGAGAGCCAAATCAGGTCGCTTTCAGCAGTGCTACTAACTAGCTACTTTATCACTAAATCTTCTGTATGAGCAGACATGTCCTAAGGTGTGTGACTGGACCAGCCATCACTTGTTTTGACATATTTGGTCTCAAACAAAAGATTTCAGGGGCGATAGGGCAATGTAACCGCCCCATCTAGATACAGTTTCAGGAAAAGATTATGGCACACAAACCCTTCAGAGCTATATTTTTAATGCTGGGTATTTTAAACCCAACCCAAAGCTTTAATCGATACTATTATACAGGAGCTAATTTTACATAGTCCTTACCTGGCTGAGGATGGGGGCTAGTGGCAGAATATTTCCTTGTAATGGATATTTGTGAGAGGAGCTACCATTTCACAGAAACGTGTATTTCATTAGCAGCAGACCTTACAGGCAGGCTACCAGCCTGGGAGCACTGTGCCATCCTGAGAAAAAGAAATCTATGCTAAGAATAACACAACTGAAGCTCGAGACTGGCCCAGTGTTTATTTGAACAAGATGTCAAGCCAGAGCAGAACGGGTTACACAACATGTGCATTGTTACACGTCCACACCAACACACAGTGCTTTCAGTGCACTCCAAATAAGAAGCATTTGTAAGGGTTTGTTGTGTTTCAAAAACAATAGACGGCTTTCACTTTAGAACTGCGGGCCAAATGCAGCCCCCCAAACCTTTTCTGCCTGACTCTTGGTACTCTCTCCAGACCACACACATCCCTCCAGGGGACGTTTGTCTCCAGTGCTGCTCTGTCTCATTCTTGAGTGCCTTCACCTGGCTGGAATGTGTCCTTAAACTGTAATTACACCAAATGCTGAATGGATGGCAAGATGGATGGAATGTAGTCTTCTGTTTGCAGCTGTTGCTCCGCCCACTTTTGCCTCTGGCCCTGCCCACCACTGGAATGTGGCCCCCAGAAGGTTTCCTATGAGGCAGTGTGACCCTGGCTGCTCACAGGTTCGAAATCCATACCTTCCAACATTTCTCCGATGAAAATAGGGATAATAATGATAATGATAATGATAATTTAACTATTTATACCCCACACATCCCAGTAATTCTTGGCAGCTTCCAACTTAATAAAACAGTAAGCATTTAAAAAAACTTCCCTACACAGGACTGCCTTCAGACGGCTTGGGTGCCCAATAGAAAACTTTTCTATTCTTACAGGCCTATGCAAGCACTTAAGAACACATGGTCAATGGATGTCATTTTTAACCTTTGCATATATTTTTAGGCTTGCCATACATCAAGAAAATCCCTCACATGTCCTGGTTTTGGGGTGCAAAAATGGTGTCTGGGGGAATTTAGCCAAATTGGCAAAATGTCAGGGAAAACCCGAATGTATGGCAACATGATGGAAAGAAACAGTGGAAACAGCCCCAGAAGCTTAAAATCACTATTTTGGGGGGAGGTTTCCCCAAGCTCAACAATTTTGGTGGGTTTCTAAAAGAACAAAAGCTCAACAAATTTACAGTACTTTTTAAACTATGGCAACCCTAGTGTTTTAGTGTATAATTTTATGTTTTATTGCTCTAAGCAGCTTTGATTATTTTTTAATGATATAGCGATATATACCGTAAATATTTTTTAAAATAAAATTAGCCCCATTGAAGTCAGTGAAACTTGCCTACTTATTTCATATAGAAATGTCTATCTTGCCCTCCTAGCATTTATGCACTACTCAAGGTGGCTTACAACAATTTAAAATCACAATGATATAAAACACAATTTAAAAATGCAACATTAAAATACAAGAGTCAGAGACCACATATCAAACAAAGATCTGTCTTTTATCAGCTAGCAAAAGGCAGCCACAGAGGGGTCATTCCACTTCTTTGGGCAAGGTGTCCTGCGGCATTGGTGCAGCCATTGAGAAGACTCTATATTTTGTTGTTATCAACCATGCTTCCACCCTAGGTGGAACAGAAAGAAGTATGTCTCATTTGTATGTCAGGGAGTGGGCTGAGCGGTATGGGAGAAGGTGGTTTCTGAGGCATTTGTGGTTTTAAGGGTAATTGCTACCGCTTTAAACGGTGCCTATAAGCTCACATCTGAGTAGAAAGGCACAGAATTTCCTGAACACTACCAGATAACTTTTCATTTTATTTTGAAACAAAAATTACTTACTATGCTGTGCCAGAAAGATGCCTGATACATGTACCTTTTAAAGCAGAGTGTGGCATTTACACTGTATGCTTGACTAGAGGCGTGCTGGTTTTCTCTGCACAGAACTCTTATTTCTTTTTGCTTATTCCTGGCATCTACCATGCAAGACTAAGCCACATGTTAAAGAGCTCACAGGTTTCATAACAATGAACATGAAGCATGATGGGTGTTGACCAGGGGAAAGCATGGCACCAGCGGATGGTTATTATTGGAGTCTGCTGGAGACCCAGCCACTTTTCCACTTGGAAAGCAAATACCAGTTGAGTCCACAATGAGTGAACTCACTGTGAGATGGAAGAAAGGGGAGATGGAGTAATGAGGTCAAGTCTCAGTGCTGGATGAGTGTGAGTTAATGGCTTCCACAAGGGACAATTTGTGTTAGGTTTTTCTTGCACTGATTGAGAGGTTTGGA